ATGCAAACTCTATAGGAGCGAATCCTCTTAAATAATAGTACTTAGATGATAACTAGTTACTACGTTAAGGGTTTAGTTTAGACTATAAGCCCCAATTAACCACCCTTACTAAACTTATATTGGCAGATGATACATACCGTAAATTTTTTGTTCTAAAAAGTTTTACAAACGATGTTTTCTTTCACTGAAGAGCATCAAAGACGATCTTACCGGATGATATAGAGTTATCCCAAGTCGTGCGTGGACACCAAAACGGACCTGTCACATGGTTGCACTGACACACACTGTAGTACCTATCTATAACTAAAACCAACTATCGTAATACATACTCGAATAAACAACACAATAGCTTCAGTATGTAACATACATTTGCAATAACAAATGAAATGTAATTACAGCAGTCTATTAATTACAAAATATTGTCAAATTATAAAACCCCTGACAAATTAACTCTTTAACATCAACTTCGCAACAATTAATTGAAACTACGTGACATTATTTGAACGGGCGTTAATTTTTAATTGCTCTTTCATTATTCATTTCACTCTAAAAATTTATCTACTATAATAACCTATTTAAAACACGAATACGTTACCGATTCATTTGCCCTCTTTCCTTTTTTTAATGTTAGAGAAGGACAGACATGGTATGGAGTTCACTTGATGGTAGGTGATATACCCCAGCCTATAGCATCTAACCAAGATGCGCCGTTTAAATATTCCCAATCCACAGACTGAAACCGAAACACGATTAATCTTCACGGCTTTTTCATCTGTGGACGGCGGTTCGTGACCCGGACGGAATGTCTATATTTCTACCATCCAATTAATACCCAGATTTCGAGACGAAGAGCAGCATGTTTCAGATAAGTTATAAATTGAAAAATTAGAAACATCATGGACCTGGTGGGGTTCGAACCCGTGACCCGTTCATCATTAATTATACATTGCTACTAATTAGACCGACGAGGTTATCAAAAATAAAAAATATCAAAAATAATGACATGTTTCGATGTTATTCACTGAAGAAATAGATTTCTAAACGGTTGTTATATCGACTCTTCAATTCGCTTTCATCCATTTTCTATACGTTATGTATTTTCTAACAAAATAGAAGTAAAGTATTCGTAAATGGAAGGAAAACATTGTTTATACATTTTGTGAAAACTTTCGCGGATAATATTGGAAGTCGAACAATCCGCGCTCTTCGAAAATATGCTTTGATAGCTTTATTGTAACACTTTTAGAGTTAGTTCCACTATTAATATATTATTATTAATAAAAATTCTTAAGAACATCACATCAGAACAGTACAAGATTTGGAATTTTTGGAATAACAAATATATTACTTTTTTACCTTGTGATTTGTACATACATACATATATAGTAAACAAACAGTTTTCTAAGTATACTAAATAATATTTTATTTAGGCGCAAGAGGTCCCGATGAAATTATTTTATTTTAAAATAATATTAGGAAAACTTAACAGCTAATAGTTATAAATAATTTAGAACAGGAAGGTAAATAGTAAAGCTAGGGAAGTTTTCACTTATAGAACGAAAAGTACAATTTTACATTAAAGGAGATCCAACAATTAGAGTTAAAAGAGGAAAACAAAAAAAACAACAAACAGTACAAGTTTGGGTGCAAGTTTCAACCAGATCGTTAAAAAAGAGTTCTGTACGATGCTTTTAAATGCGTTTTTCTTTAGAGTAAAGAGATCAAGGTCACTAGAGGTCATGGAGTTAAAAAGTGTCGTAGTTCTAGGGAAGAAGGACTGAAGGCGGTATTGTTCGACAGAGGGGAGTTAAAGTTTTGGGTTGTGCTCTGAAGTGGCGAACGGGAGAAAGTAATTTAACTTCAGAAAAAATAGATGAGTCGATTGTGTTCAGAGTAAGGTTGTGTAAGAAGGAGAGATCAGCTGTTTCTCTTCTCAGTTTTAGAGGGAGTATATGGTGGTGTTTACAGTTGTCACTGTAGTTATTAATGTTAATTTTGAGTTTATAGTTTAGGAGCTTAAGAAATTTTTTTTGGGGTTTTTCGAGTTGTTTTATGTAAAATATAAGCGGACAGACTTGAGAACATATTCTAACTGACTTCTAACAAGAGAAAATTATTTTAAGAGTTTGCTAGTTTGAAGTGAGATTCAAAAATGATCCTAGAGTTTGCATGGCCTTTCCTGTAATTTTAAAAATATGTTTATCAAAATAGCTTGGACTAATGTTATGCCTAAATCTATAATTGTGTCAGTTCTGATGAGTATTTGGTTATTGATAGTGTAGGAAAATAAATGTTTTTTATCAGATCTTGTGAAGGATATAGATGAGCATTTTGAGAGGTTAAGGTCGAGTTTTTACGGTACATAATCGGGAAAGTTTTAAGATCTTCCTGCAGCAGTTCGGCATCTTTTTTGACTTAATAGGTCTTAAATCTTCATATCGTCTGCGAACAAGAGGAATTTGCTGTTTTTAAAGCAAAAGTAGTCAAAGTATGTTAAACAGGACGGGCCCAAACCTGGGGAAACCAGAGGGAATAGTTATGGGAGACGATTCATACCATTAAGAACAACCATGCACCATTTAACATAAGAAGAAAACCACCGCAATAAGTTTCCCCTTATCCCCGCCACCTGAAGCTTTTGTAGCAGGATGATGTGATCAATACGATCGAAACATTTTTTGTAGTCCGTATAAATGGCGTCCACTTGACCATGTGATTCCATTCCTTTGGTAAATATCGACAAAGGTTACTAGATTAGTAGTCGTAGATCTTCCTTTTAAAAAACTCTGCTGCGGTATAAAGGTATACTTTAAGGAAGATTGCAATTGCTCATTTACTACTTTCTCAAAAACTTTTGCAAAGAGCTTCGAAACGGTCTATAATTGGAAATGTCTTGCTTGGATCCCGTGGATAGGGGATACTAACGCGGATTTCCACACTTGGGCTATGCCTTCTCTAAACGTTCAAATATACAGAGTGGCTTTACTAGTGATCTGCACAATGATGAGAATGGGATGGATGTTGTCTGGTCCTATGTTTATTGCAATCTAGGGTTTTTAATAGTTTTAAAACAAAGGGTGGGCGTATTGAAAGTTGTAAGTCCGAGGAAGAATGGTCGAGGGAGTGATTAGAGTAAATATTATTAGATAAGGCGTCATTTGAGTCAGACCGGGTTGGTGGTAAGTAATTTGTTTGAAAAAATGATACAAAGGCGTTGGTAATGTCATAGCCTGAAGAAAATTCTCTGTTCTCATGAATCATGGTTGAAGGGTAAGTATTGTGACGTTTGTTTGCCTGTATATATGACCAGAATGCTTTAGGATTATTGTTAATAGATTTTTCTACACTTAATATAGTTATGGTAGCAGGTGTGTTCTATCTTTAGTCTGTCTCTCAAGACTTTAAAAGAATTATGGTCTGCTATATTCTTGTAAATTTTATACTTCTTGGTATTTGTTTTTCTCCTACTTTTTTGAGAGCTGGACTTACCTTTGGATACGACTTATGTTTAAGGACTTTATGTGGAAATAGCTATGAGCCAAGTCGCGATTATTTTATTGAATTTGTCCACAGCATCGTCGACGTTGCCACTTTGAAGAAGAGATTGCCAGTCGATTTGAGTTCTTCACAAATAGTCGAAAAGTCCGCTTTGTTAATTGAGGCGTTTTTATTTGTAGTTTTAGAAATGTCGAAGAAAAAAAGTTAGTGTACAAATTAAAGCCGGGTGGTATTTATCCTCCTCAACCAGGGGCTCAATACAGCGTTTAATAAGACTTATCGTTCACAATACAAGATCGAGTTATTAAAATGATTTTTAATGGCATTGAATTGACTAGCTTTAGGTTTAGCAGGTCGAGAAAATCCGCGTAATCGAGTTACTTAATTTTACTATGGGTGAGAGAACTGCGTCACCAGGTCCCATGAATGTCACCAATATTGAAGTCTCCTAGTAATAAAAATTTATCATTGGGGCGTTCCGAAGTAAGCTTTAAGTTCAAAAGTTATTTAATTGTTCAGTAAAAGAAAAGCCACGATTGCGAGCATAAATAAAGACAGCAAATGTGTACGAGTGTAGGCGCCGCCCGCAAAGTGTTGTGAATTTTGAATGTAATCCATAAGTCTTCAGCTGTAGAGTTCCATTCGGGTTGCGCGGAAGCATAAGCCCTCCCGCGGCGATCAACAACCCCCCGCGCGTCTGTCCAGTGAGTGCGTAGTCGCGGTCGCGCCGCCACACTTGATAGCGACTAGTGAATAATTCTTCAGAATGAATGCCTTCAATAAGCCATGATTCGGTTAAGACCACAATGTCGTAATTTTAGTTGAAATTCCTTTTAAAAATTTCAGTTTTCGTCCGTAGACCTCTGACATTGGTAATATATTTAAGTACCATTTACACACCTCAGCGGAAAAAATCACACTAGAAGCAAAAGAACGTAAGAAAAAGTTGTGAGAAGTTATAGTCAGAGGGCGACGGACAAGTAGTCAAAATTATGTAGGAATGTTACATTTCAAATGAAAATATTTAATGGTATATGAGATTATAGTAAATAGTTTGTGTAGGACTGAGTGAATCAACTTGTGGGAAGTATTAATTAATAGTACAGGATCGGATATGTTGATAAGGAGGGAGTGTGACCTTGATTACGCAATAACGTAAATAGTTGTTAGGTTGAAATAAGCTTTGAGAGTAGTACATACTAAAGAATTTTTTGTTTGCGGGGTTCATACAACCAGTAAAAAAAAATTAGATAAAAATTATTTTATGGCACAAAAGGTAAAATAAACGAAATTGACAGTTCAATGTGAGGAAGTAGTGTTAATAGTCATTTAATTTTTATTATATCGACTTCGCTTTTTATGCAGTTTGGGGATGTTTCACTTTTTCTTACAGTTTTTGCAGTTTTGAACCCAACAAACTTGAATAGTTTTTCTAATGCGACTTTTTTATCTTAGACAAAGTAATTTGTTTTCGCGGGTTAAGTGATCGTTTATGAAGATCCTCAAGGGGTACCGTTGAAGCCAATCTGGTCGGTCGAAAGCGTTTTATAAGATCTCGCAGTTGCGACGAAGTTCTCCTTAAGATACCGTCTAGTGAAACCCACAATAATTGGTTTATGTTCAATGAAGTGCGAGTTCTGGTACATTGTCCGAGGTAGCACTGGCTGTCCTATCACTTCACCGATTCTCGCGACCAGTTCAATTAGATTTTCGGATTTCTTCGCGGGTATCCCTTTTATCTCAATGTTGTTCATCCGGTCGAGTTGATGCTGTACGTTAAGTTTGGTTTCAAGATGGCTATTTTTTCTCCTTTCCACAAGTTGAGTTTGAAGAACACCTTGCTCCAGCACTAGGGTAGAAGTAGACTGCTTGTTAGAGAGATCATTTGATATATCAGATATACTATTTTGCATCATATCCATGGTTTGCTTTTGTGTTGCAATAAATTGCTCCAAGAGGGTAGACATACGAGTTATTTCTAGTCTCAGATCTAGTACTTCTTGTTTGCACTCACAGTGATCGGGTAATCTTCGCTTCCGTGTAGTAATTTTCGATTCCTTGCACAACACTGTTGATAGATCAGGTTGTGAAGAGCTGCGAGGTTCGTTGGGGGAAGATCTTAAAAGACTCATAGTGTTTACACTTTGTTGTAACAACGGTAGCAATGAAATCACCCACACTCTAGCGACGCACAGATCTATTTTTGAATTTGATTATAAAGTGTCTTGGGCGTGCACAAAGACCTATCCCAATAACACTTACCTATAAAAAAAATCTATCAGTCACTCGGATAGCGTAATGCCCTATGCCTCACATAAGAGCAGCGCGACTTAAAGATTATCTCTATCGTTTACTTTTACACAAACTCTCCTTCAGGCTTATCTGTTCTATTGTTATAAAGCTGAAGAGTTTGTTTGTTTGTTTGAACGCGCCAATTTCAAGAACTACTTCAAATTGAAAATTTATTTTGTTTGTTGGGCCATTTATCGATGAAGGCTTTGGGCTATAAAACGTCAGGTTGCGACCAATAGGAGCCAAAGGAAGAGACAGAAAAAAATGTAGAGCAAACGAAGAAAATTATTCATCTATGAAGCGTTCCGTTGCTGCAAAAAGAAACCAAAAAATATGTATAATAATATAATGATTTCTGTTTAAATGATCTAAAAAAAATGACCGCGACTAACGCGTAAGTAACTCGCAAGAACAACGTGACGAGGACGACATCATTGTTACCAACTATATTTTTTTAAGCTAAGGACAACCTCCTCTTTGCAATAATAATGTTTATGCCCAATATAGTACAAAGTTTTATTATAAATAAACACAAAATCGCAATTCATATTCAAATAGAATTATATAAAGAATAGCAATATGGTTGGCATCTGCCCTAACGTTTATAAAACTACATTTGGAAATATTCATGTATGCCGGGATTGACCGATCTTGTCCCGCAATCTCATCCCGTCTCCCGTGACAAAGCCCTGGATTAGCGGGACGTGTCAACATGGAAGATAAAATATACAAACCCTGCAGGGTGATGCCATTTTTGCGCTCTTCAGTCACTTTATACGTCGCTGAACTGTAGGATTTTAAGACCCATTCGTACCATTAAAACGGTTTTTTTACAGAATGAAAAGTGCTCGATGACTAATGTATGTCTCGAACCGGACCACAGACTTTTTAGCACTGTAAGGGTCAACAGGTTGTGGGTTCGTATACAATTTATATTTTTCCTATAACATGTTAGACTTCGTCTGGATATCAAAATATTCAAAGCTAAAATTGATCGATAGCGCATCTTCTTAAGATTTTATAAGGCTGGAGTAGTTCATCTTCAATTAAATCAAAACCAAATCTTGTCTATCACTACTAGTGCTGTCAAAAAACAAAAAAGCAAGAGAGTCGTTACTAGAAAGTTGTAGAGTAAATACTTTGAATTCTTTGCAAATTAAATTACTAGAGAAATGTCTGTGTGCCAATTTTCTTGTTTAATTTTAAGTATAATTCAAATTTTAATACATTTTTACACGTTTGTATAGAATGCAGTAATTATAAAAGAAATCAAGTACAGAGGATAAAATGGCAACTTTAAGCTGTCTTACATTTACTATGTCCAAAGCGTATTTTAAGCGAATAAAACAAGTTGATTATAAAATAGACATCACAATTAGTTAATAACATGTATATTGTAGATGTATTGTATTACAAATTTAATGAGTACTGTATTGAACGAAGCGAAAGTTTCATATTTATAAATTAGCTCTCGTTACAGCAAAAGTGAAAAGTTAGACAATAGAGATATCGTCCGTGTAAACGAGCTGACGGAAACTAGATACGGCCGTGGGGATGTGACTTTCAGGCATGACTTCACATTGTTAGGGTCATGTCCGCTATTTTGATGGGCCTTTGTATTCTCTCCTTTGGGAATAATGTGCTAAATGTGGCGCTAAGAGGTAGAGATAATTAAAATTTACGAACACCTTTCAAAAATATCTCCATTGTTACAGAACAAAATGGGGTAACACTAACTAGTTAATGCTGTGACTATATTCGGCATAGTATCTAGCACCATAGTATACAGCTTCTATAACTACGCCCTTCTTCTCTTGTTTACTCTATTGTGGACCGCTTTACGTAGAGAAAATAAAACATAAGGACAAAGGTAAAAGATACCGTATTATAACACAATGTTGAGCCAATCAGATAATATTAGTTTTTCATCATATTTTTGTGCATTCAAATTAAAAAACACACTTAAAATTTTTCCAAAGTTTTAAGATAAGTAAAAGGAACTTCGAAGCTTTTATGGGGGATAAATTTCAATACAAACGGTAAATTTAGTTAGAAACTCAGTGCCCTGGAGGCGTTGCTTTGATAAGGCGCTGCTACAGTCCCCGTGCTAACCAACTTCCAAGTTACCGTTAAAACCAAATATAAAACTTGACATAGTATTAGTAATACTTAGTTGTTTACTTTTGAAGGTGGAAAACAAATTTTATGTGCAAATTATAACAAAAATTTTTAAAATACATTGTTTAGTAAAATAGACATTACGTAGAATATACATCAAACATTTGAAAAGACTTCCAATCTTCTAAACGTATAGATAAAATAAAAATATAAGCTTAATGTAATTAAGATCAAATAGGAGTTATGCTAACTGCCCGGTTTTTTAATTTAGATGTAACATAAAACCAAGTTTAGATCATGTAGGGAAAGTTTTAACGGACACAATATTGCTCTTAATATTCAGTGAGATATAATGTAGCTGAAATGTTTATTTAGAGAAATTTTATTTAAAAAAATTAAGGACTAAATGCTACAATGGATTCGCCAAAAAGAATATATATATAAATGCTGTCTGTAGTTTACGCGAGTAGTCCACATGTAAATAAAATACTCTAACGGTTTAAAACGCGATATATATTAGTTAAACTTATTTGAACATTATTTTAACTACGGTGACGGAAAAACCCATGGTCACGGCTGCTGCAAAGCATCCGAAACTTCGGCCGTAGTTAAAATAATATATATTGCGTTTTAAACCGTTAAAGTATTTTATTTAAATATATATTGATTATTATAAAAAAAATAGTCTCAGTACTGACGCTACAGTTGATTATTTTTAAACAAACGTTACATGAACAAAACAGACAATTAATTACCTAAGTTAATATATAATAATTATAATTAGTAGTAGTAACTATCAGTAATAACTACTACTACAAGTAGTTAATATTTTGATTCATAGAGAAAACTATTTATTTTACTTCTAGATTCAAAGCCTGGACTTCTTAGGCAATGCTATACAACGCCTCATAGCTCTATGTATTAATAAGTAATCAAATCACATTTTCGAAAATAACCTGCTTAAAAATACAGTTATTTCCTTCCTGCACTTTTCATTATTGGAACTTAAGAAAGTGCGCTTTGTTTATTCGTAGCCGTAATGCCGAGTAATACAGTCCTTTGACAACAGACGAACAATTTTAAGAGGATCAATCAATTCGTCAAAGAATACATTTGTGTAGATATGGTGTTGGAAGAAAACTAAACCTACTTCGTAAAAAATATTCCATAATTTTAACTACAGTTAGCCATTTAAATAAAACACTTTAACTGTTTAAAACACGATATATTTTATTTTATTTAAAACGCGATAGATTATTTGGAGCCGTGGTCATCTGAGTGGTCACGTGAGTATTTGCATTCGGCTGCTGTAAAGCACCCGAAACGTCGGGCCGAAGTTAAAAATCATTTTCAAATAAGTTGAACTAATATATCGCGTTTTAAACCGTTTTAGTGTTTTATTTAAATGTGTACTACTCGCGTAAACTATAGACAGTATTTACAGTTAACCAAATAACATTACAATTGTACAACAATGCAGTTTCATTGCTATATTCAAAAAGCGTTATAATTTAGTTAGTCTCTGTTTTTTCAGAACATCATCTAAGTTTTATTTTAAATAATTAAGATATACATACAAAAAAACATATTATAATTTAGAAAATAACCATACGTAATCCCCAATGCCTCACGAGGGCCTAGTTAATCAGATGGTGTTCCTTTCATAACGATTCCCCAGGACTCGAACTCACGACCACCGCATTAGCCATTCGTTTACCACTAAAACACGATGGCCACCACAACACACAATATGTATGTACGTCTCATTGACATAGTAAACCCTGCAAATCACTTACAGCCATGAGTAATCACAGTGTCTCTAATTCTGATTGAGATCGATTCAACCAATAGCAGCTGCAACGCAGATACCCCATAATCGAATAGACAATGCCGATTGGAATGGCACGCGTTTGATGGACGCCTAAATGTTTATTTCATCTCTTGAACTTTATTTTCAAACCTACGGTATCTTAATAAAATCCCTAGTGAAGTTACAAACACTGTCAATAAATAAGTTTAAATCGTATGTCAAATAAACACTGCTTGGAAACGGTTATAATAACGTAAATTAAAAAATAAATGATAAAAACGCTTAGCGTATAGAGGAACCCGCTCTAACAAGAAGGAAAATGTACACATTAAGCGCGTAAGGATTGTAACACAAACTTGGCAATTAAAAGGAGTGGCGACGGGTTTCTTGACAGTTCTTCTCGTTCGTTCTACGCCCTTATGTTGGGAACTGGTAGTAACTGTAAATTTAGAGTTATACATTTTTAACTGTTTTGACGTTCATAAGTGTACTAAGCTACATGAATAAATAATTTTTGATTTTGATTTGAAACTACTTACATGGTACAAGTGCTGTCTGGCAATACTCTGGTGGGAGTAAACCTTTTTCATCGCTTCCAAATTTAAAAATAAAAGATATTTTAAATTTGATTGACATAAGCAATCATTGTATTTGATTAACAGTCGAAAATAATATTTTAAAATGATATATATATGAATAGCTAAAGAAAATTAATCTCGATTTTATTTATTATAATGTGTAGGTATCCATAGTTTTCTTAAGAAACGATGAGATGATATCACGATTTTTAGCGCTTACATTTTAATACAGGCGTAGAATAATTATTAAATAAACTTCATAGTTTTTGTCTTAAATGTTTTCTTCTTACGAGTACTTAAAAAGCATTTAAAGACGTTGTTGTCTTTATCTTTT